GGTTGGCATATTTACCGTCTATAAGAGGGCAATAGATTCCTCTTTTCTTCCTCATGCCTTCCAGTCTCCTCTGCCTTCCAATCTCCCAAGCTCTCAGCGCCCGAAAAGTCTCCCTCTTTCTCACCACCACCACCTCCTCCGACCATGGGCGGATCCGGTTCCAAAGGCAAGTGGGAGGCCTCCTCCGTCACGGAGAAGGAGATAAAGGACCTCCTGAGTGCGGGATACCTCGCCACCACCATCGCGCACATGCTCCCCCAAGGGACAGATCATTCCCACTCCGGAGCCCGGCGAATGGGTCGTCTTCCTCTCTCATTTTCTTAGAGGGTTAGGTTTTCCACTCCACCATTCGTCCGTGGACTCATGTTCTACTACGGACTAGATTTCCATGATCTAGACCCGAACTCTTTCCTCCACATCTTAGCGTTTACCGTCGTGTGTGAGGCTCTTCTCTGCATCCACCCACACTTTGGCCTGTGACTGAAGGTTTTTAATGTGAAGCCGAAGGTGGTCGACGGGCAGCACGCGGACTGCAGCAGAGCTTTGACCGGCAAGCTGCCCAATGCCATGTGGCCTAAGGGGGCCTTCATGGAGACCGCCAAGATCTGGAAACATGAGTGGTTTTATATCACTGAGCCGCGCCACACTAAGTGGGCGGCAATTCTGGAATTCAGATTCGGACCCCCCATGAGGCTCGTCTCCTGGACCGCGAAGGGCCACGACTGGGGTTCTCAGACGGAGGTGCAGACGCTGCAAATGCGCATCACCAACATGCTGAGCAAAAACGTTGGTCTAACCAACATGGTGCAAATTATTCTCTTCCACCGCATCCTCCCCTGCCAGCGCCAGGCTTCCACCATGTGGGAGTTCAATCCGGAGGAGCTGCAGACTCTGCAGCACGTCCTCAGCACCACGCATGAGGGAATGTGGAAGCTGATCTTCAAGGCGCAGAAGAGCTGGCCCATGGAGATCGAAGACGTCGGCCTCAACGCCAAGAATCCGGCCACTCCGGTAAGTATTTAACTTTCCGAAGACATACCTAGTTTATATACTCGACCTATACAAAACTCATCAGCCCATCTTTTTTGCAGGGATGGACCAAGAAGTCGGAGCAGATTAAGAGTCCGGCTCCATTGCTTGAAGACCCAGTCACTCCTCAGTTGGAGGATATGCTGGTCCCGGCGCCTTATCAGGTGCCGGAGAAGAAAATCAAGGAGAAGGGAAAGGGGCCCAAGGACGGGCCCTGCCGCAAAGGACCTCTGGAAGCAGTGTCCGGAGAGACCGAGGCCGTCTCCTCTCACGAGGAAGACGAGGACGAAGAGGAGGAGGAGGAGGAGGAGGAGGAGGAGGAGGGCAGTCTCTCGAATAGTTCGGACTCAGAGTCCGAACACAGCCTAAAGAGGATCCAAATAGAGAAGCCCCTGATCGAAACATAAGTATCGAAAACTTACTTGTTTAGTTATCGCTTAATCTGCCTTTGTCATATGAATCAAATCTTTTGCTTTTCAGCCCTCCGCGTGAGATCCCGATTTCGTCTTCTTCGGAGAGGAACTCTCTGCCACCTGAAGAGGCGGAGAGTGATGGGCCATCTCATGCCTTCTCCCTCCTACCGTGGAGGACACCGAGGTGTCGTCTCAAAGGGCATCTCCTAGCCAAGGAGGAGCAGACGAGGCCGTCCAGAAGGCGCCCGAGGATAGCACTGATACGTCCATTTTGCATCATGTTTTCCTACTGTTATTTATGTTGTTTTATTGTATAATAATGCTTTTTGGAGTAATTCTAATGCCTTTTCCCTCATAATATGCAAGGTATGCACGAAGGGGGAGAATTCCGGCAACTAGAAATCTGGACCTGAAAAAGCTACGTAAAGTTACCTATTCTGCACAACTCCAAATGATCTGAAAGTTCTCGAGGAATTTTTATGGAATATTTAATAAATATTGGAGCAAATCAGTACCAAAGGAGGGCCACCAGGTGGGCACAACCCACCTGGGCGCACCAGGAGGCCCAGGTGCGCCCTGGTGGGCGCTGCCCTCCTCGGCCCACCTCCGTTTTGGCATGTCCTTTGCCTCAAACGGATTGGGCTACCTTGCTGCACTTTTGTTACTACTATCATTACTTGCTCATTACAAATTATCTTGCTATCAAACTACTTCGCTACTTATAATTTTTAGCACTTGCAGACAGTACCTTGCTGAAAACCACTTGTCATTTCCTTCTGCGCCTCTTTGGTTTCGACACTCTTACTTATCAAAAAGGCTAAAATTGACCCCATATACTTGTGGGTCATCAAGGCTATTTTCTGGCGCCATTGCAGGGGAGTGAAGCGCTCTTGGTAAGTGGAAATTGGTAAGGAAACATTATTACTACGTGCTGAAATTTATTGTCACTTGCTACTATGGAAAACAATCCTTTGAGGGGTTTGTTCAGGGTATCTTCACCTCGACCGGAACCACAATTAGTTGCCCCTCAACCTAATGCACCTACTGAAAATATTGAACATGAAATTCCTTCGGGTATGTTAGAGCAACTGCTAGCTAATCCTTATGTAGGAGATGGAACCGAACATCCTGATATGCACTTGATATATGTGGATGAAATTTGCGGATTATTTAAGCTTGCAGGTCTGCCCAGAGATGAAGCTAAGAATAAGGTTTCCCCTTTATCTCTGAAGGGAAGAGCATTGACATGGTATAGGCTGTGCGATGATATTGGATCTTGGAACTAGAACCGTTTGAAATTGGAATTTCATCAAAAAAATTATCCTATGCATGTAGTTCATTGTGATCGGAATTATATATATATATATATATAATTTTTGGCCTCATGAAGGAGAAAGTATCGCTCTAGCTTGGGGGAGGCTTAACTCAATGTTATATTCATGCCCCAATCATGAGCTCTCAAGAGAAATTATTATTCAAAATTTTTATGCTTGGTTTTCTCGTAATGATCAATCCATACTCGATACTTCTTGTACTGGTTCTTTTATGAAGAAAACTATTGAATTTCGATGGGATCTTTTAGAAATAATTAAACGCAACTCTGAAGATTGGGAACTCGACAAAGGTAAAGAGTCGGGTATTGAACCTAATTTTGATTGTGTTAAATCTTTTATGAATACTGAAGCTTTTCAAAAGTTTAGCACTAAATATGGACTTGACTCTAAGATAGTAGCTTCCTTCTGTTAATCTTTTGCTACTCATGTTGATCTCCCTAAGGAGAAGTGGTTTAAATATCACCCACCAATTAAAGAAGAAATTAAAGAACCGGTAAAAGCTAAAGAAGAAACCATTATTTATAATGTTGATCTAGTTGTTCCCATTGCTTATATTAAAAAAAACCTTTTCCTGTTAGGGTGAAGGAACATGCTAAAGTTTCAATTATGGTTAACAAAAGTTATGTTAGAACACCCAAACCATCTGAACAAATCAGAGTTGAACCTAGTGTTGCTATGGTTAAAGACCTCTTAGTTGATAATATTGATGTGCATGTTATTTACTTCTGTGGTGAAGCTTCTAGAATTGCCAAACCTGAAGGAAAAGATAAACATAGACCAGTTGTTGGCATGCATGTTGTCTTAGTTAAGATAGGAGATCACTATTATCATGGGTTAGGTGACCTAGGTGCTAGTGTGAGTGCTATTCCTTTCTCCATATAACAAGAAATTAAAGATGAAATAGCGCCTGCTGAAATAGAAGGCATAGATGTCACTATTAAACTTGCTAATAGAGATACGATATCACCAATTGGGATTCTTAGAGATGTTGAAGTCTT